GAAATGGGTTGTTTGATATGATTTGCTAGAACCTTTTAAAAATATTTTGAGTTTATTTTCATCAGCAAAATTGGCCTGTAGTTTTACTCCTTGTTGGGTCTTTGTCATTTTGGGGTATCAGGGTGATATTGGCCTCATAGAATGAGCTAGGGAGAATTCCTTCCTCCTCAACTGCCTGGAATTCTTTCAATAGGATTGGTATCAGCTCTTCCTTATAAGTCTTGTAGAATTTAGCTGAGAAACTGTTCGGTTCAGCACTTTTTTGGTAAAGAGATTTCTTATTTCTGAGTCAATTTCTTAGATTGTTATTGGTCTGTTTAGGGTTTCAGTTTCTTCCTGTTTCAATCTTGGGAAGATAGGTAATGCCAGAAATTCTTCCATTTCCTCTAGATTTCTCTAGTTTTTTTTGGTTTTTTTGCACAGATATGTTCATAGTTAATTCATAATCTTTCATCTTTCTTCAGGGTCAGTTCTAACGTTGCCTTTTTTCTTTTCTAAATTTTGTTTATTTTAATTCGCTCGCCACCCCTTCTTTTCGTTGATTTTTTTTTTTTTTTGAGTTGGAATCTCACTCTGGCGCCCAGACTGGAGTGCAGTGGCAACTCCCAGCCACCGCAGCCTTGACCTGCTGGCCTCTGGTGATCCTTCCGCCTCAGCCTTCCAAGTAGCCGGAATTACAGGCATGTGCTACCATGCCCGGCTTAGTTTTTGATTTATTGTAGAGATGAGGTCTCGCTGCCCAGGTGGGTCTTGAACCTGCAAACTCAGGCAATCCACTCACCTCAGCCTCCCAAAGCGTGGGATTACAGACTGAGCCACCGAGCCCGGCTCCTTTTTGTTAATTTAGATAAGGGCCTGTTGCTTTTATTTATCCTTTCAAAAAACAGATTTTCATCTCATTGGTTTTTTTCTTTGTCTCTATTTTGTTCAACTGTTACTCTATTTTAATAATGTCCCTTGAAAAACAAAGTTCAAGGGTTGGATTACTTTTGTCTTTCAACTTCTTTTAGGTGTGATATTAGACTGTTTACTTGAGATCCCTCTATTTTCTTGATATGTTCCTTATAATATTATAAACTTTCCTCTCAGCATCACTTTCATGGAACCTTAGAGGTTTTGATGTGTTATGTCTTTGATTTCATTCGTTTCTAAGAATATTTTTATATCCTTCTGGACTTCTGTGTTAACCTAAGAGTCATTTAAAAGCATGATGTTTAATAATGTATTTGAGTGTTCAGCAGGGCAACTTCTGGAGATAATATTTATTGTTATTCCACTGAGGTCTGAGAAGATACTTGGTATGATTTTTATCCTTTGGAAATTTGTTCAAACTTGAATTATGTCCAAGTATGTGGACAATATTGGAGTATGTTCCATGTGGTGATGAGATTAACAATATTTTGTGTTTGTTAGTTGAAGTGTTCTGCAGATGTTTATTAGGTTCAATTGTCAAGTGTCAAGTTAAAGTTCCTGATGTCCTTATTAATTTGTCCTAAGGCTGTTGGCAGGATAGTAGAGTATCCAATTATAATTAGATGGCTGTATATATCCTCTTCTAGTTTAATTATCAATTGTTTTATAAATCTGAGTGCTTCTATGTTGGGTGTTCATATATTCAGGATGGATATTTATTGCTGATAGATTGATACTTTCATCATTATACAGTATCATTTAGTGTCCTTTTTAACTTTTATTGGTTTAAAGTTAATTTTTTCTGATATAAGAAGCCTACTCCTCCTCTTTTTTTCCCCCTTTCACCTTGAAAATCTTTTTCCAGAACTTCACCTTGGGTCTGTGGGTATCATTTGCAATGAGATGGGTTTCCTGAAGACAGTAGAAGGATGAATGGATTATGCTTCTTTATCTAGTTTGCCACTCTATGACTTTTAGTGGCACATTCAGTTCATTCATGTTTAAGTTACTTACACATATATATTTTTTCCTGTCATAGTGCTATTAAGAGGCTGCTTTGTGGTTCCTTTGAATGGTCTGTAAACACTGTGCCTTCATGTGCTTTTGTAATAAGTGGAATTACTATTTTGATACTGTGATTCGAATTTTCTTAAGCATCTCCTGGAGGACTGATCTGGACCTATAACATATTCTCTTAGAGATTGGATGTCGGAGGATTTAATTCTCTTTCATTAATGAAGCATAGCTTAATGGGATAGAAAATTGTTGATTAGAATTGCTTTTTTTCCCTATCTTTCTTTTCTTTTTCTTTTTCTTTCTTTCTTTTTTTTTTTTGTATCGTTTATAATGTTAAAGTAGAACCTCAGTCCCTTCTGCAATTCTGATGGTTCTTCATTATAGGTGGTCTGTTCTTTCTCTCTAGCTGCCTTTAGAAATTTTTTCTTTTATGCTTACCTTGTGGAGATGGCATTCAGGCAGGACCTTGTACCTCTACTCTGGCTCAGCTGCTCTTGTGGATGTAGATTTGCCTCCTGCTCTCCCTCTGAGCAGAGCCATACTTTCCATTTAGAGATAGAGGAAAACTATGGATGTTTGTTATTACTCCTTCTTTCTGTAAGTGGGTAGGGCTACTGCCACTGCAGCCTTGTGCAATGGTGCCTTGCCTCTTAGATCCTGCTCTGTTCTGTGAGAGGGGTTGTAATTACAATGGTCCTCCCTAAGGGCAAGCCATGTTTGTAGCTGCAGCCCAAGGCTGCAAGGTCTCCACAGAACTGGGGAGACCCCCAAATTGGTTGCTTCACTCCTGCTGGGTGCTGGGGAGGAAGGGATAGGAGCACATTTGTGCAGCACATACCAACACCACTGAGTTTTCTACTGAAGTTCTCCACGGTTAGGTTGTCAGATGCAATAGGAGTACTGGAAACAGGAGTTCCCTGGATTTTAAGTGAGGCCCACTGGTGTCTCTGTTTCCACCCAGTGCATTTCTCTGCACCTGGCCAATGTGGGGGCTGTGCTTGGTGGAGTTCCTGGGTTCCCTTTCCATTGACTGAGATTGCAGAGGCCCACTTAGGTATGCAGTGACAAAAAGCTGTCATTTTTACTCACCCCCTCTGTCTACAAGGGTGCTCTCCTATTCTTGTGTTGTGACTGTCTCCAGGGGTATCCAAGGCTAGGAACTGTCCATCCTCTGGTGACCATCTGGCAAAATTCAGCTTAAGTTTTCAGGTTGACCCCAAGACTCCAGGTCTTGTGCTCCATATGTTTCTTTTCAGTGAGCCTCTATCATGTGATGTCTTCAGTCAGTCATCTTGGCCCTCCCAATTTATTTTTGAAGTGTGCAATATACTATAAAATAATTCATCTAAAGGCTCTGTATTTTTCTAATCTATATGGATCACTAGCTAGCACATTGTATTTTTAAATATATAAATGATTAAGGTTAAGTGATGAAAAGACATATTTCATGCTTATTTGAGTAAAAAATGCAATAAGTTTAAATAAATATGTGATGTCTTTAATGAATATATTAATAATTAATAATATTAATATTAATAAATAATTGATTAAAATTGTAATCTCATATAATTACACATAGATACATGCTTTATTTAAATAGTTTAAATGGTTACTCCGTATGTTCTATAATTTGAGTTAAATTAGTTTAAATATATTTGATAAATTCAGTAGTAAATTTTTTTTTTTTTTTTTTTTTTGAGTTGGAGTCTCACTCTGTTTCCCAGACTGGAGTGCAGTGGCCGCTCTCGGCCACTGCAGCCTCGACCTGCTTGGCTCCGGCAATCCTTCCGCCTCAGCCTTCCAAGTAGCTGGAACTACAGGCGTTCCCTGCCATACCCGGCAATTTTTTTTTTTATTGTAGAGATGAGGTCTCGCCAAGTTGCCCAGGCGGGTCTCGAACCCGCGGGCTCAGGCAATTTGCTCACCTCAGCCTCCCAAAGCGCGGGATTACAGGCTGAGCCACCGCGCCTGGCCTCAGTGGTAAATTTTTAACATGTTATGTTTTCAGTTTTAATATATATTTACTGACCATATATTATGTGTCTGCCACTGTTTGGAATCTACTAATGAAATATAAAGAGATTCAATTTTTCTATGAGTATCACATAGTTAAGACATATATGTTTCTAATACCAATGACTTTTTCTTCTTCTGATATGTAGTAAATAGTTCACTTTACCTAAATTCTTCCGTATGAGGCATTAGTTCAAAGGATTAGAGAGTGATAAAATGCTACCAACCTGCAACAATCTACATAAGTTTCATTAAAAAAATTTGTACAAAACTTTGCCACCTATTATAATGAATTGTTTGAAAATTAGCATGTTTAGTCACAGTTAAAGAATCATGCTTGTTTATAGTTACATAGCAAGGGATATTTAGTGTATCTTTATCAAATGACAGGAATTTAAATAAATTTCTACAAATTAATAGATTGTGTGATGGCCTCAAAATAAGAAATAGATTAAAATATCAGCATTTATAATAGATGATCAAATTTTAAACAGTCATTTTTACAGTAAAAAAATCCCACAAAACAGTGAATGAATGGGAAAATTTAGACTTATTTACTGTATATCAAGACAGAAAATGTCTTAATTTATTGAAGTTACTTGGAAGACATAAAATTATATGTTTTCATTGATGTATGCTTTATATAAAGCAAAAATTTTGACATAGCTGCAAAAATCTTAATTACATTTTTTTATGGACTATTACGTCCTCGTGGACACAAATCCAGTAAGGATACAGAATATTTTAACAACTTGATCAATGACCTTACCAAAAAGGTAATCAAAATTTAAAACTCTTATCATTCTATATACCAAGTGACATGTTTTTCTTTAATTTCCTATAGATGAGAACATAAAATATGTAGTTATATTTTTTTGCCATCTCTTATTCTTAGTAAAGATTTTGAGATTGATTCATTATTTGTATAGCATTTAATGTCTTTGTGTTGCTTTCTGTCTTTTTGCCCGGTTGCTGCTGACCGGGCTGCTGTGCTGGGGGG